CCACAGGACATTCCTTAAATGGTATAACAAATCTAAGTTCTTAAAAATGATATGGTCAAAATTAAAAAAGAACATAGTTTAAATAAATGCATTTTACACTTTGGGCGAGTGTGGTTGGTGAATCATCCTGTTTGTGACGTTTTATAACGGACCCACAGTTTTCTTTCCTTTTTGGGTAATATTTTATAAGCACGAGCTCATCTGATCCCGCATATTGGTACATGTAAAATGCTTGGTGAATTACTCTGTATGCATTTACAACAATAAATAAATAAATTTACGTTTATGCTGTGCAATAATTTAAACGTACTCTCGTTGTTTTGTTTCTTTTTATATACATATACCTTCCTATTAACCGATAAACATTCTTAATATTGTTATAATGGTTTTTTTAACCAAGCAATACAAGTTAATTAATTATTGCTAGTAAATTGTGTACGGTTTGTATAATTATATGAAATTAGTTTTGTTGTTCCATACACTTCTACAAGAGCTAGAGCGAAAGAGTCAGAGAGCGAGAGAGAGAGTGAGAAAGAGATAGAATGGGGGTGATGGGAGGAAGAGAGAGATGAGAGTGCCTAATTATTTTTAATGTTACAGCGGATATAATTGTTTACGATTAAAAATCCGATTGGTTAAAAGAAAAAATAACTTTGACTTATTACATCATATTAGACATTAGTCGTAAATAGGATATTATATGTATATAATTACCTAGGTATATTATGTTATGTATGTACAAAGTGTGGCAGAAAGAACTGAATAATTTAATATAGCTTTCATTACAATCATATCATTTTTTTTTCCAATTTCGTCATTAATTATAATAAATATTAAAACAATCTAAAAATATCAATAAAAACAAAAGTTACTACAACATAGTTTATTAATTAAACTGTTCAGAGCTTTCTGCTACACTCCGTGTGTATAGATAAACAGAAAATCTAAATTATTAAAAATAGGTATTCATTATAATCAATATATTTCGCATAGAGAAATAATTAACATGTTTAAAAATATTAGAATATCAACGTTTGAAACGTTCGAAAAACGTTTGTGTGCGTAGTATACAAATTAAAAAAAAAAAACTTTAACAAGATAGACGCACGTATTATTACTTTATTACAATATATTCAGCCGTGTTCATCTCATGTCCATCAGTGTCGTTTTGGGGGTTGGATTTAAATGTTGACTTGTGAGACATATTTTTGGATATTATTTTAGAATACTGTATAGTGATGTCATTACTCATAAGTGGAAATAGTTTTTAGGTGGTATAGGTAATTCCGGTTGGATAGGATTAAAAATAAATGATTGAGTGATGTTGTAGTGGTTGTTGTAGTTGAACGATGAAAAACATAATATAATATTACCAGCACGTCTGGGTTAAGTGTATTTTTACGTAGGTATTTCTTCAGTGGACGAATTAAACAAAATATCAAAAACCACATTCAATTTGGGCTGCAATCGTATTAACAACATAGTGTTTTTGTTTTTCGACGGAGTAGTAAGTATTTCAATTTTTTTTAAGTAAGCCTTGTAATTTTATGTGTACGTACATATATTTTTTTTTATCATAGGTATTTATAGAATTGATCAACATACATTGTAATATTGTACTAAGACAATAATTAAGTTTCGCGAGAAATTAATTGATTAATTCAAATAATTTATCAGCATACATTATAATATTGTACTAGGAAAATAATTAGGTTTTGCGAGAAATTAGCTAATTACCTAATCATACAATTTATAATATATACCTAGGTAATTGTATTGGCGGTATACGCTCGAGCACATCGTCCACGAAATCAATTTAACAATATATTATAATTATATACGAATGGAATGTTATTGAGTTAATAATTTAATTAACGTTATTACGTAGGTAAATAACTTCGGTATGTGACGATAAATAATGATATAATTAATATTATACTATATTGTACATTTTATAGACAGAAATTGGTGAGTTGTCGAAGTGTGCGCCATGAGTGAAAAAAAGGAAAAAAAGAGCGGTGGGTCGTGGGCGTATATAGCACAATCGAAATCAACAAATATTGCTATAATCGTGCATACATAGGTAAAATAAAATATTACGAATAAACGATGTCAACTTGACGTAGGTATACTACAATAATGATAACATAGAATACCTATTGTGAACCGATAACAAAACAATTTAATTTCCACTAACATAATATTAATAGGTATAATACATTATTACTATATTATTATTATTGTGATGTCGATGGGGCGAAAAAATTATTTTAAAATGTCTTAATTTTTTTATACATATATCATTATATTGCATTGTAGGTATAGGAATTGAGTGCATTTTTTTTAGAAAATCATATTTAAGAATTCCGAGTTTTAGATTGACAACTTTAAAAAATCTATATATTAGAATATGAATCTTTTAAAATAACTGTATTTTAAAATATAAATTATTATTACTGTTAGTGTGGACTTACGGTAATGTTCCATGTCTGTGATTGGGAGTACGGAAAATATCAAAATAAAAATGTTTAAATATAAAATATTGTGATTTATAATTTATTTGTATTTACAAATGAATATACAAGAACTATAATATTATGATTTTTTATATTGTTTATATTTTTATTTTTATTTTTGTAAATTAATTCAAGTTGGTATGCAGTAAACAAAACTAATATTCTTTTAGTCTGCGTTTATATTCTAAGACATTGCTTTTCTATAACTCGGCCTTCTAACACATGACTTTCAAAAACCAGCCTCAGTACCCATCGTAGATTGGTGGTTGGTAGGTATTATATACTAAGGTCGACGGTTAAAGCTCGCCAGAAACGACATTTTTACAGTTACCTAATCTAATTTCGTTATTATTTCGATTTCTTTGATCCGAAACCCGGGGATTTCCTCCCCGGAGTTGATATTGAACAACAACGACACCGATATGAACCGTCTGCCGAGGCTAAGGGTATTATTATCTCATTACTGGGAATTTGTAACCACCGCCAAAACCATACTAACCACGTGGGTCTTTAATAATTTAATAAAACAATTTCTGAGATTATACTCGTTGTACGATGATAGACTATATTGTACAGTGTGAAGCACCAAACATGCTCACCCTCTTTAATATTGCGCATTAATTCAAATATTATGACATTTTTTTGGATTTTTTAGTATACTTAAAAACCATATTTTCAGATATTGGGAAATGTACTGTAATATATCATTCGGAGAGTGTCCCGTGGCGATAAGAATTTTTTGGTTTCAAATTAACATCAGCTTTTCCCCCGTAAATCGTTAAGCATACGGTTTTTTTTTTTTTTAAATATTGATGCACGATCGAAATTTGGACGAGAAGTTTCTTAGGTAGTTATTAAACTTTATGTACTGAGGCAAATAATCCTCAATAATCCATCTATTATTCAAAAAATAGTTTCTTCGAATAATGAATTTTATAGCAACCAATATCAGAGTTAATTTTACTATATTCTTACTATATTTGCAAATGGTCAATTTTACGTTGCATTCACACGATGTAATACACTAGGCGATTCAGGATTGAGTGCAAATTTTAAAATAAATTACCTTATTGAAAATATTGTATATGATGAGGTGCATTATTACGGTGTCCCGTGTGTACTATATTTTATTTAAAATGTTAATAATTTATCATGTTTGTATTATTTTACATTTCAGATTTTTAATATTTGAGTTCTCAGATCGCAAAAAAAAAGATTGAAGAGTTAATGAGGGAAGTGAGTAGCGACTGCAGCGGGTTTATATTGAATATAAGTAATATTAATTTGTCTACTACTATCATACCTAGTAGTACTTGGACAATTTTTATGAACTTTTATGAATTATAATAATATTTTAATATTATATTAAGAGGTTCCAGTCGGTAATTTTCTGAGGAATAAGAACTAGGCAAATTATGTGCAGAAACATCCTGGCCATGTCAACATGTGCTAGTGTAAATTAACATTAGTGCGTGTGCTCTACATCCCACTAGCAGGCATATTATTAAATTATCTAAGAAAAAGTATTAGGTTATCTTTTGAGTAGAAACATACTTTGGCTGTGACAACATTGTAGGACTAAGGCTGGTGTAATTTTAATTCTGTACAAATCCTAACATTTATAAACATCTCTTCTAGAGGAATTCTTTAGAAATACGAATTTCTTCAATACATATGCAGATTGGATAAAAATGTTGTAAAAACTTAAATGCATAATATTATAATATTGTCAAAATTTTAAACTTTGAAAAAAATGCTCCGATATTCTCCGATGGTTCCCTAGAGAAGATATTAAGGAATGTTATTATATTTACAGCATTAAAATCGAACCATCGAAAACTTCAGAATCTTGTCACATCGACGGGTCTAAAAACAATTTTTTTTTTGACTGGCTATATAGAACCACTTTTCACATGGAATTACTATGATTTTCACATCGTCAAAGCAGCCTCATATATTTTTACCTTTATTATCACTATTTTATATTTTATATTTTAGTACATAACGCTTACCAACTCAGAAATAAAATTACTAGTCCTAAGAAGTTTATAAAAAAATATCGACTGCTTAACAGTTAATGGTAATAAAGGTGGTTGTGATTTGAAAAAAAAAAGTTTGTATCACCGCTACAAGACATAATACATAAATGGCATACAACAATATGTATTATATTTTATAAGTATTTCAAAATATGATCTTATAAGTACTCAAAAGTTCCGAAAACCATTCAATAAATGCGTTGACAAAGGAAAATAATTGGGGTGAGCACGGCCGGCGAAACACTGCAGCGGTGTATACCTATATATAATAATACTATTTGATGAGGAAAACGAGGGGCTGACCTATATTGTACAACTCGAGGTTTTCGACGACGAAAAACGAAAAGCGCAGCTCGCACTATATTGTTATGTACATGCACAAACGACAATATTATTATAATGTTCTATTAAGATTTCCGTCTGGTTTCGCGTGCGTGCGTCCGCGTTAAATGCAAGTCTCCGCTTCGGTGCAACGCCGGTTATCGGTCGGCTGCAGCGTTTCGCAGCCCTGCAGCTGCGCCTTGTTGCTGTTGCAGTTGCCGTGTTGCGCCGCGACGGAGGCGGCCTTGTTGTCGGGGCCCTGCACGGTCACGCTGAGCAACGTTTTGTAGCACTGCGCGTTCCCGTTGACCGGCGTGATCATCACCATCACGTCGGAGGCCGCGGACGGACGGCCGCAACCACCGGCCCCGCAGTCGTCGGACGGCGGTGCGGCCGCGTAATGGTGGTGATGGTGATGGTGATGCGGCGGTTCGGCCTGCAGGTTCCTGGTGGACCGGTGAACCACCGACTTGCGGCTGCAGTCGGCGGTGCTGATGATCGTGTTCAGCGGCATGGTCGTGTCCCGGAAGCTGGACTGCAGGTCCCTGGACATCCGGTTCCGCCGGTCGCCCGAGTATCCGCACAGCGTCTCCCGGAACGCTCTCCTGTACTTCATCGACATCAGGTTGTACAGGATCGGGTTGACCGTCGACGAAAAGTAATAGAAGCAACCGGCGATCGTGTACAGCAACTCGTTGGCCTGCGTGTAGTACGGCGAGTCCTTGGCGTACAGGTAGAGCAGCCGCTGCGCGTGGAACGGCGCCCAGCACAGGAAGAACGCGATGACGACGGCCGCTGAAAACCAGGTGCATAATATTATTTTAAAATTATTATTAAATCATGGTTGGATCAAATTGATAAATTGAATAATTCATAGCAACAAACGCTACGATGACGATATACAGCGTTATAGCAGCAGGGTTATTCAAAATTATCATAATCATCCGACGCTTGCAGACTGTCTATATAGCTGGTCATCTGCAGCTGATCTCACGCCACGTGGTTATGCTGCTTATTTTGAGAACATAATTACGTTAAAGATACTGTGTAGGCACCACCATTATCATCAACCAGTCTTATCAAGAATACTTTTCAATAACGTATTCAGAATACGTATTCGAATACTGTCTTTCAAAATTATTTGAATATAAATACAAATACATTTTAAAAGTATTCAAAATTCTTCAACAGTACTTGTTTTTTATATCAAAATATTTGCACGTTTATCCCGAACATTTACTTAAAATATTATTATTTAATATTAAAATGAAATAACTACCTAATAAATATATTCTTTAATATTGGTTCAAGAATTTCAGATGTCACATATAGGTGCCTAACCTAACCTAGTATACTGTCAAGTTAAACTTCGCCCTACGTATACATTTAATCTTTTGTGTCATTTACATATTTGATGAAATTAAGAACAATTTATACAATAATAAAATATGGAACAAAAATATTGGTCATCGAAATACTACGGTAATAAGAAACAAAAGTATTTAGTATTCTGGAAAAAAGGTACAAAGAAAAAGTCTTTTAATACAATTATTCGAATATCTACTTAATAATATTGTCACCAACCACTTCAGAGGAGCTAAAAGATTAGAGCAGTCAATCACAACGTATGTGCATGGAACGAATTTGGATCCTAACTATGGATGTTGTTTGTGTGACCAAGGGAAGCCACAATATAAAGAACATTATTTATAAAATATATTTGAAATATTATTCTTTTATTTAATGCACCTACGACCTACCTATATCATATTATACTACTTTAAACCTAAAAATCGGATGAATAATTTTGAATAATCCAGTATTATTATACAGTCGTCTCACGGTTACACTCAGAAGAGCTCTATCGATTGAGGGGGGGATTTGAGTTATTAAACGTTAAGAGGTACCTATATACATAGGTATAAAAATCCAATCGAGTGCCAAGGCGTTTGAAAGAGAACGTTTTATATTTCAAATAATATCAAAACTCGATATATTTATATTTTTGAGAGTCGACTATTTTATTTAAATTACGATGTTCCAGTTGTTTGTAGGGTGGGAGGGAAACTATACTCTATATTATTCAACGATTAAAGCATTTTAAGCAGGTTATTAAGACATGAATTATGAGTATTTATTATTTCTGGAGCAGGATATGATCGGCTGTTATTTCAACTCATAAAATATTATTGATAGACGATGTGTATATAACGATGTGCATAAACTATAAAAATAACATTGCAAAATACCAATTTAGATCATTGTTGAAGTATAACATATTCAAAACGATTTAACTTCGAATATAGTTTATCTTTTAAAAACAGTTCGACATCTTGCAAACGAAATACAAAAAAAAAAAAAGAATAAAACTTTGATAAAACACAATGCTAGAAAAATAAAAACTGTAATTACTAACATGCCATAGTGTTCACTGACCTTAGTGATATACAAGTGACCTTAATATATTATATTATAATCGAATTATGTTTATGGTGGCCAGAAAAATAGCAAATGATATATTATTATTTCATGTTGATATTACATGACGTATACCTAGCTCAGCACCCTCGCATAGGTCTCTATAATAAAATGTACCTATACAGTTTCTTTGTATTGGAATAATTAAAAGGAACCTCCTTCAAAATGTAATACATTTCCAATATTTTGTTGGTTTAATTGAGAGCGGCATCAGTTCTACTATTATAGGTATGCCCCTACCATAGTGAAAGGCAGTATTTACAAAAATGTAAATGATGAGAAAATGGATTTTTCTTTTAGATTCTGAGCGGAGCGATGAATGTATTGGTTTTACAATGATGTATGTTTTTATATTTTTATTTATATTTTAGATTCTGAGCGGAGCGATGAATGTATTGGTTTTACAATGATGTATGTTTTTATATTTTTATATTTTTATATTTTTTTTTGTGTCTGTCATCACGTTTTGGGACAGTAAAAGTGCTTCGATTTTCTTCAATAGTACCTTTTCTGATAGGAAAGTGAATCTAGTTGGTACTTTGGGGGGTCAAAAGTAAACATTTTACAGTAGTTTTCACAAGCGCCGGGAAAAACAACATAAAAATTAAGGAAAAACTGGAATTTTTACGCAAAATCGATTTTCCAAAAAATCGAATTTGGTTATTGGTGTAACTTTAAAACAAATGACCGTAGATACATGAAATTTTCACTGGTTGTTTATATTTGCATTTTCTATACACGATAACATTTTCAAAATATTTTGATTTATTTTGAACTGTTTAGGGACATTTTCATTTTTCATTTTATTTTAGTTTTTTTTCTAGAAATATCAATAAAATTTTATTTGTTGGTTGCGAAAGCTTGAAAATTTAATAGAAGGCTCCTAATATGTTGTTTCAAAGGCAGATGAAAAATATTAAAAATCCTTAGTCACAATTTTTTTTATAAGCATTTAAAGTTCAAAAATTTACAAAATATGGAAAAATCACGAAAATTAGCAAATTATTTTGAGTTAAGAATTCGTAAAAATTTTTCTTTTAAATCTAAGATTTGAAAATGAAACACAAGATTCCTTATAAGATTATCTACCTTTATCAATAAAAAAATCTCTACCGGACAGTCAAGTTAAATTTTTATGAGCGCTTGAAATTAAAATTTTTACAACATTGGATATTCACTCGATTTCTCATGTAGCGATTTCTTTATTTTGTTGCAATTCAAAAACGAACAACTGAAGATACATGAAAATTTCACTGAATGTTTAAATTATCATTTTCTATACACCATACAATTTTGAAAATATTTTGACTCTTTTTGAGCTGTTTAGGGACATTTTCAGTTTTCAATTTTTTTAGTTTTTTTTTTTATAATTGTCAATAAAATTTTATTTGGTGGGCCAAAAGTCTGAAAATTGAATACAAGCTTTCTTATATATTGTTACAATATCAGTTGAAAAATTTTAAAAATACATAAGCACGATTTTTTTTTATAAGCATTTAAAGTTGGAATTTTGACAAAATTTATCCAAATCTCGAAAATAATCAATCGTTGGAATTAAAAAATTATAAAATGTTCAGTTTTTATAACTAAGAGTTGAAAATTTAAAACAAAGATTCTCTTAAATAATTCATACTGTAACCAAAAAATCTAAAAAATATATAAACACACTTATTTTTTACAGACATTTTAATTTCAAATTTGGACGAAATTACATATTAAAAAACCTAGAATAACTATTTTAGTTATTTTGTTGTGATTGAATAATATTATTCGTGGGTACTTGAAACTTCTAAAGTGTACTATTATATATCTATGATAGTATCACGGTTTTTGTTGATGTATAACGCGTTATAAGTATCTAATGGATATTGTGATATGATTAATTTTGGAATTTATTATAGGTACCTATTATAGGTCAATTTTTTGTTTAATACCATAGATATGTATATAATATGTCTTATACTAGACTGACATACCGTCACCTCTCAGAATCGTTTTTCTTATACAATGATATTAGATCATTGAATTCAAATTTAATACCATCCATTATACAGTGACCCACTTGTAACCTACTGTACAGCAGAGCGACACCCACTTGCCCACCTTTTTTTTTTTTGAAAACTTTTTTGCTCGATGTAACGAAATTATTCATTAATGTATTGATCGTTATCTGTAGTAATTTACATCAGAAATTGTTATGAATAATTTTCTTTTTGTCAAATCAAGATTCTGGGTTTGTAATAATCAAAAATGATAACGATTTCAATTAAAAAGGCAGTATAAACACAGTAAAAAAAGGTGGAAACATGTTGATGATATTAATTCCAACTAATGATGATAATATATCCGATTTCTGATCAATGTTACGAACAAACTCATTCAAATTTGTATATTTTATTGAATAAAATTATTTAAATTGACATTCAATAATACACATGTAGATACTCCTAGGTATCTGTAATAGATCAGCTAATCTAGTGTTAGCAGATAATATATAGGCATTATATAAAATCCCAAATAAATTTCCTAGCAGTAGTGTAGTAATGGCGGCAAAAACTCTTAGAGAGTAGTAATGCCAGAAGAAGAAGAAGAAGAAGAAGAAGAAGCAATACCTAACTACACAACATACATATACATGACTGCGTTTTCTTCTAGGATATGTCATTTAGGTACTGCTGATTTGTCTAGTATATATTCTGTGATATTTTGGTAGATGCAACATATTCAATGCTCATTTTGATGGTGTAAATTATATATTACTGTACTTTGATCTAGTAAAAACGATGCAAAACAGCCCGATAAACAATATTCTGCAATAATATCATTATTGAAAAACTGTCGGTTACTGCCTTTCACTTTGGTAAGGTGTAAATATCTGTATTTACGTCCCTGCGATAGTTTATTTTAAATACAGTTTTACAATTGCGATAACGGAATAGGTATTGATCGATATTGATCTTCTTAACGTACCCATGGTAATACTTTAATCAGTCAATTCTTTTGGATTTTCAATAGAACAAAAAGAAACGTCATAACAGTGATACAATAATATTATACAAATAAATCATATTATATTATAAAATTAAAAAACGTTATTATTTATCTAATTAATTATAACGATAATTTCATCTGATCATAGATAGAGCATATTGTTACACTATAAATTATAATATTACTACCCCGGAAATGTTTAAAAAATCACCATGTCGGCATTATCTATAATTTTGCGGAATTGAATGTATTTATATCGTAATTATAAAAAATAATATATAAACGTTCTACACGTTATACAAACGAGTTGTAATTATAAAAATATGTATCATCGCATAATATTCCATTTCGTTTCCAATTATAATTGCTTTCCGAATATTGTATCGGTTTTTCAAACATTCCCTAACTTCCCCCGCATAAAAATGACGTTTTATAAATTGATGATCAAAACTAAATGTGTATTTTCGACCAATTACATTATTTATTTGTGTGTATTTATTTTTGTAAAATAACTATGGGAAAGCGTTCATATGCCATTTGATTTTTGTTTTTTTTTTTTTTTTTTAAACGAGTTATATAGTCATTATCAAAATGTAGTTCAATGGTATAATATTTTACAGAACTCTCGTGCATACAATCGTTGACAGATCTCAACATTTTTCTGCTCGGGTCATACAAATATAATCTATTTATATTTTACTACGTCTGTAGAATTAATAAATAAAATTGCAAAAGACGCATGCCATGTATACCGTGTAATAATTGCTATTAAAATTAATGAATAAATATAAAATCGACAAATTAAAAACGTAGCGCCCTGCTTGATATTAATTATCCTCCGCAAGGAAAACATATGAATCATAAATATATTTTTTTGGGGGGGGAGGGACACTGAACTTTGCCTATCGACTATGGACTATTAAAAATAAACCAATTAAAAACTAACTTTTTTCATTTTATTTCGCTAATGCGCCTTGAAAAAATTTGTCAACATACCTATAGTTGTAGGTATATTGATATCAGTATTATCACAAAAAACAAGGTAACAATAATACATTTTATAAGCATTATGAAAATCAGCCTGACTAAGCCAGACTGATTGTTCGGTCAGAAAAAAAAGTTGAGCTCAGCCCAAAAACATATTTATGTTCAAACTAATTTTGATTTATCAAAACTTAAATACATGCAGTAGATTTTATTAATTTTTAGTCGGATACAATTTTTTTTTAACTTTTTAACTTAACTAGTTTAATTTACAGTTGAAATAACTTAGCTTTTCTCAGTTGATTTTAAAAAATCCATCAAGTTAAAAACATTTTGAAATTGTTCGTTTATACGTAAATATTACTAAATCAATATAAAATAAAAATAATCCAATACAAAAACACAAACATTTCTGTTCTTTTTCTTAATAACATAATTTTGTGTATATTAACATATTTTATTAAGCTGTAAATTATATATTATGTGAGTTACAATTATAAATGTTTTTAATAAAATTAATAATTTTAAACTACAAATTGACAATTTGTTATGTTTTAATATTATATAACTTATAATATATACGAAGGTCATGCACTCATACTCACGTATTATGACATACAATAATTGCTATACGATATAAAAAAATATAATTGTTAAATTATTAATTTGAGATGAGTATAGTTTAAATTAGTAAATAATAGTAAAGTACTAAAGTAAAAGTAAAATGGTATACAGTGTATGTACACTATGATTGTTAGAAGTTTAATAAAATTGTGTTTTATAATTTATAAATTAGAAATTAGAAAGACACATTCACTCTTTATGTGATTTACATACTAATTAAAAAAAAATAGATTAACTTTTTTTAAACTGAGTTAAGTTAATATTTTTTTCTACATTAACTTTAACCTTATCGAGTTAAATTTATAAATTGTTAACTGTTCACTTTTAACTTATCGATCTTGTATTCTCTTAACTTAACTTAACTTGAGTTAATTATTTTCATTCACCTTTGTCTGAAAGTGTATTGGCACTTATACCTCCTCTAATCGACAATATTAGGTAACCACTATTGTTCTATGGTAACAACAGCAATAACAAAAATAATACTTGTAACGGCTTTGCAACAATCGTACTACTACTATATAGTTACCTAGCATCCTGACAATTGACTTTTTCGATTGAATTTGTTTGGTCTCCCCGTGCACGTTGCCCTGCATTTGTTTTCCCAGCGAGTGCCTCGAACTCTGTCTGATCTGGAGCCCGATGAGCACATACAGCACAATGATGATCATCATCGGGACGAGGAAGAAGAGCAGCGAGCTCAACTCGTATACAGGCACTCCTGTCGGCACGTTCTTATCCAGCATCGCGCAAAACGCGCTCTCGTACAACGGATATCCTGACCCTTGAATAATATATATATATAATGATATCATGTAATTTGTTTTAGTAATTATTATTATAATATTCTCGGTGAAGTCGCGCACTGCAAGCGGTACGCGATTATTTACGCACGGGTTATCGCCATTTGTATTCACGATTCGTATATAAAGGCAAATCGCGTTTAAGTTTTAATAATAACAGTAGGTAGTAATAATAATTGTAATAAAACAGTTAATAGCTGCAAAATATAAACGTACAATATCATCACGATGCGAGTGTACAAAAACTACGCAATCGCATAATAATAATAATTACATGTAAGAGGTAGGTTACTCCTACCCTCTATCAGTGGAGTTCTCAAGAGAATTTTCAATAGTGGGGGGGGGGTTGTGGATAATTTCTAGGAAAATTTTATGTATGGTGGCTTTCGGAGCACAAAAGAAGAAATGAGGCCAATAGGACCCAAAAAGTCTAAAATTCTTAAAATATGCAATGTAAAATTGTATACTTGGTGTCCTTGATGACTTGACGTATAAAACAATTTTATAGCTTACTTATCTATGGTTTTAACTTCTATTTATATCTGTCATCCATAATATAATTAGGTAATGTTATTAAATCAGAGTTCAAGGTATATAAGCATTTCACTTTTCATTTCGTCTAAACTAATTCAAAGTGTGGTTTTTAGACATAAAAATTCCCAGGATATGAAATTAAAAATATATGCTAACGTTTAAAAAAGTTAAAAAAATTATAAAGATAAAAATAAAGTAAAAAAAGGTGGGCAAGTGGGTGTCGCTCTGCTGTACAGTAGGTTACAAGTGGGTCACTGTATAATGGATGATATTAAATTTGAATTCAACGATATAATATCATTGTATAAGAAAAACGATTCTGAGCGCAGACGGTATGTCAGTCTATGTATAAGACATATTATATACATATCTATGGTATTAAACAAAAAATTGACCTATAATGGGTACCTATAATAAATTCCAAATTAATCATATCAAAATATCCATTAGGTACTTATAACGCGTTATACATCAACAAAAACCGTGATACTATCATAGATATATAAAAGTACACTTTAGAAGTTTCAAGTATCCACGAATAATATTATTCAATCACAACAAATAACTAAAATAGTTATTCTAGGTTTTTTAATATGAAATTTCGTCCAAATTTGAATTTAAAATGTCTGTAAAAAATAACTGTGTTCATATATTTTTTAGATTTTTTGGTTACAGTATGAACTATTTACGAGAACCTTTGTGTTGAATTTGCAATCCTTAGCTATAAAAACTGAACATTTTATAATTTATTAATTACAATGATTGATAATTTTCGAGATTTTGATAAATTTTGTCAAAATTTGATCTTTAAATGCTTATAAAAAAAAAACTGTGCCTATGTATTTTTAATATTTTTCAACTGATATTATAACAATATATCAGGAGCCTTGTATTAAATTTTTACACTTTTTGGCCCAACAGATAAAACTTTATTGATATTTATAGAAAAAAAAACTAAAAAAAATTGAAAGCTGTAAATGTCCATAAACAGCTCAAAAAGAGTCAAATATTTTCAAAATTGTATGGTGTATAGAAAATGCTAATTTAAACATTCAGTGAAATTTTCATGTATCTACAGTTATTTGTTTTTGAATTACAACAAAATAAGGAAATCGCTACATGGGAAATCGAGTGAATATTCAATGTTGTAAAAATTTGAATTTCAAACGCTCATAAAAATTTAATTTGACTTTCTTATAAACATTTTTCTTTTGATAAAGGTAGACAAACTTATAGGGAATCTTGTGTTTAATTTTCAAATCTTAGATTTAAAAAGAAAAATTTTTACGAATTCTTAACTCAAAATAATTTGCTAATTTTCGTGATTTTCCCATATTTTGTCAATTTTTGAACTTTAAATGCTTATAAAAAAAAATTGTGACTAAGGATTTTTAATATTTTTCATCTGCCTTTGAAGCAATATATTAGGAGCCTTCTATTAAATTTTCAAGCTTTCGCAACCAACAAATAAAATTATATTGATATTTTTAGAAAAAAAAACTAAAAAAAAATGGAAAATGAAAATGTCCCTAAACAGTTCAAAATAAATCAAAATATTTTGAAAATGTTATCGTGTATAGAAAATGCAAATATAAACAACCAGTGAAATTTCATGTATATACGTTCATTTGTTTTAGAGTTACACCAATAACCCAAATCGATTTTTTGGAAAACCAATTTTGCGTAAAAATTCCCCGTTTTTCCTTAATTTTTATGTTGTTTTTTTTCCCGGCCCGCTTTGTGAAAACTACTGGGAAATTTATTACTTTTGACCCCCCAAAGTACCAACTAGATTCATTTCCTATCAGAAAGCTCCTGATGAAGAAAATCCAAGCACTTTAACTGTCCTAAAACGTGATGACAGACACAAAAATAAAAAAAAAAATAAAAAAAAAAGGTGGGCAAGTGGGTGTCGCTCTGCTGTAACAGTAGGTTACAAGTGGGTCACTGTATAATGGATGTAATTAAATTTGAATTCAATGATATAATATCATTGTATAAGAAAAACGATTCTGAGCGGTGGTGGTATGTCAGTCTATGTATAAGGCATATTATATACATATCTATGGTATTAAACAAAAAATTGACCTATAATAGGTACCTATAATGAATTCCAAATTAATCATATCACAATATCCATTAGGTACTTATAACGCGTTATACACCTACAACCAACCCTAATACTATCATAGATATATAATAGTAGAATTACTTTAGAAATTTCAAGTACCCACGATTAATATTATACAATCACAACAAAATAACTAAAATCGTAATTCTTGGTTTAAATATGAAATTTTGTCTAAATTTGAAATTAAAATGTCTGTAAAAAATAAGTGTGTTTATATATTTTTTAGATTTTTTGGTTACAGTATGAATTATTTACGAGAATCTTTGTTTTAAATTTTCAACTCTTAGTTATAAAAACTGAACATTTTATAATTTTTAATTCCAACGATGATAATTTTCGAGATTTTGATAAATTTTGTCAAAATTCCAACTTTAAATGCGTATAAAAAAAAATCGTGCCTATGTATTTTTAATATTTTCAACTGATATTGTAACAATATATCAGGAGCCTTGTATTAAATTTTTACACTTTTTGGCCCAACAGATAAACTTTATTGATATTTATAGGAAAAAAAACTAAAAAAAATTGAAAGCTATAAATGTCCATAAACAGCTCAAAAAGAGTAAAATATTTTCAAAATTGTATGGTGTATATGAAATGCTAATATAAACATTCAGTGAAATTTTCATGTATCTACAGTTATTCGTTTTTGAATTACAACAAAATAAGGAAATCGCTACATGAGAAATCGAGTGAAAATCCAATGTTGTAAAAATTTGAATTTCAAACGCTCATAAAAATTTAATTTGACTGTCCGGTAGAGATTTTTTTATTGATAAAGGTAGATAATCTTATAAGGAATCTTGTGTTTCATTTCAAATCTTAGATTTAAAAAGAAAAATTTTTACGAATTCTTAACTCATAATAATTTGCTAATTTTCGTGATTTTTCCATATTTTGTCAATTTTGAACTTTAAATGCTTATAAAAAAAAATTGTGACTAAGGATTTTTAATATTTTCATCTGCCTTTGAAACCACATATTAGGAGCCTTCTATTAAATTTTCAAGCTTTCGCAACCTACAAATAAAATTTTATTGATATTTCTAGAAAAAAAAACTAAAAAAAATGGAAAATGAAAATGTCCCTAAACAGTTCAAAATAAATCAAAATTTTGAAAATGTTATCGTGTATAGAAAATGCAAATATAACAACCAGTGAAAATTTCATGTATCTACGGTCATTTGTTTTAAAGTTACACCAATAACCAAATTCGATTTTTTTGGAAAATCGATTTTGCGTAAAAATTCCCGTTTTTCCTTAATTTTTATGTTGTTTTTTCCCGGCGCTTGTGAAAACTACTGGAAAATTTATACTTTTGACCCCCCAAAGTACCAACTAGATTCACTTTCCTATCAGAAAAGCTACTGATGAAGAAAATCCAAGCACTTTTACTGTCCTAAAACGTGATGACAGACACAAAAATAAAAAAAAAAATAAAAAAAAAAATAAAAAAAAAAATAAAAAAACACACATCATTGTAAAATCAATACATTCATCGTTTCACTCAGAATCTAAAAAAATAAAAAAAAATAAAAAAAAAATAAAAAAACACACATCATTGTAAAATCAATACATTCATCGTTTCACTCAGAATCTAAAAAATTTTAATTCCTCCTCTGCTTGGAAAAAAACAATGAATCATAGATAAGGAGATTGAATATAAATACAAATACATTTTAAAAGTATTAAAATACTTAAAAAGTACTTTTTTTTTTGTATATTAGATAATATTTGGTCTTTATCACGGATGTATGTTTAAAGTTATAAATAAATATATTTAAATAAAACAGCTAATATTATATACATTCTTTAATTAATTCAAGAATATTGGATGTTTCATGCCCATTTCATTTTAATCAGGTCAAGTTAAAATTTAGCTAGGTATCTAAAAACTAGCATAACATAACATAACCTAACCTAATTGTTGGCTATTTTTTCATCTGCATTCTGCATATTTGATGAAATCTTATAAATTCTTAGAAGCATTATAAAATATTATTTTAAGAACAATTTATTTTTAAAATAATAACAAATTACGGAATAAAATACAAAGAAAAAGTAGTTTTAAAGTATTACAATTACACTTGTCGAATAGTACCTACTTGAGAAGTATTTGAAATACCAACAAACCATTTAAATACAATGACTCGAATAGGTGCTTAACAAAACATGCATTATAGGTATTACGCGGCTGAGACGAAATTAATAATTATTCGATTGCAAAATCGGTCCATTACCGGGTGGGAAATCCACATAGTCGACGGTGGTGAACATGG